TCTCTCTCTCTCTCTCTCTCTCTCTCTCTCTCTCTCTCTCTCTCTCTCTCTCTCTTTCTTCCTCCCACTTTCTTCTTTCAATGTGGAAAGGGTACATATAGCTTTTAGCCGAAAGTACACGTCGTTTCCCAGGAATATTATTGTAAAAAGAGTGATAAGGTTACTTTTTCGACTGAGTTTTTAAATACTTCCATATCGTCATAGTTTTTAGGTCATTTAAAAGAAAATTCATACTTCAAGTGTTTCTTTATATTCAAAAATTCTATGATGAAAGATATTACTTAAAATTTTATTTATTTCATTTCGAGTCATTAGTCATTCATTATAATATTTTGCATTATACTGCACGATGATAGAACGTCGATTACGATGTAGTGGGACAATTTTATTCTTTTAATTGCAGCACAGTGAATTACAATTTGAAGATTCGTGCATATTTAAAAACTCAAATGTTTCATAATATTTTCGTACGTAATAAATATGATATTTTAGTATGCATAAAAAGTACTATCCCAATCTTGTTACATTTTTTGTAAATAATTCTACACTTTCCTTTTCGCTATAAGGTTTAAAAGAAAAGAAAAATGGAAAAAAATAGGTACTTCTTGGTATTGGTACTTAATGACTTTTCATTGTGTACTGTGTACCGCCATTTATACGATAGAAATATTTATTAAAATAAATATTGTAAAATGACACGTGTATAATTTATATATTATAATTAATATGATTAAATTGTCACGTGTACATATAAATCACTGTTATTTCGTCAATTTTCTACCTCACCTATTGTTCTATATATGATATCGGGAACAAAAAAAATTAATATAAGTGAAAAATTGTAATTGAAGATAATTAAATATTTTCAACATAATCAAAATTATCGAGACAGTAGAAATTTTCGTAAATTCTCCTAATTACAATACTTACAATACATAATTACAATACTTATTTCTTGCGCATTTGTAAAAATTAAAGAACAAATTAAAATATCTCTGAAGTTATAATTTTTTATTTATAATTTCTCATTAAAGAATTTTATATTCACTAAATTCATATAGAAAATTATGAATAAAATATGTTTATAAATATCTATAATTATTCCAGTTTCATATCATGAGTATAATTATAATTGATTTAATAGAAGCATATGTATATAATTATTTTGCGAAAATTGTTATTAAATAAAATTTTATCATAAATAATAAAATATTTGCAATACAAATAGTAAACTTTTACTAAACATATTCCAAATAAAAGTAATGATAGATACTTTTTATTTTAAAGTTTGATTAATCAAACTATGTATCATAACAATTGAAATATTATATATACAATGACACATATAAATAACACAATGAAATATTAAAAATTTTATTTAATAATTATTTTTAAATATTTACGTTGTATATGCAATAATTATATAATGTAAGTATTAATGATCAATTCTTACATAATTAATATTAATATTAAATAACAGAATTTTTTATTAATATTATTTTTATTATTTAACTTGTCTGACATACAATCATTTACATTTTATATTTATTAATGTTAATTTAAAACACTATTATATATTTGTACTTCATATTTAATTTTTAATCTTACAGAAGTGTGCATAATAATAGATATCTCCATCATAGGTTATTAAGAATATTGCTCGATTTGACACTCAAAAAATAAATGTTCTTTAAGAACTGTTTTTGAAGAAAATATTGAGAATGACTATATGATTTTTATTTGTTAGGATATATTGATACTATAAAAAAATATTTTACATATATTGTATATATCAAAAGTTGGATTATATAGAAATATCTTTTTTACTCTAATGTGGATGATTTTTTTATTAATTGATTTAGAAAAAAAATTTGTTTAATTTATAAAACATCCGTGATAAAGCATATACTACGAAAATTAAGAAACTTTCATAATTAACAAAATGAGTCTTAAGGAATATGATATTTTTCTTTCTTAATATCTAAAAACATACAAATATATCGAATTCATAGTTTTTTAGTTAAATATATCTATCTTGAACTGTAATTTTTTAATTTTATAGTAATTAATTAATAAGTATTTTTACTAGTGATATAGACATATACATGTAACAAATATATATAAATACATAACAAATATACCTATTTTATGTAATAACAATAATATTACATATGCAATTAATATTTTGTTATTTAATTAATTTAATAAATTTTGCTCCTATTGGAATGAAAAGATATTTTCCAATATAGTTTAAATATATGTTTCAAATATATTTTCAAAAAATACTTTTAAATATATTATTTGTATTCAACATACGTTATTATAAATAATATTGATTTTTATAATAAATTTTTATAACAAATGCTTCATCAATGTTATTGTCAGACACTAAATATCATTAATTAATTCATTTTTACCATATACAATAAGAATCAATTAAAAATTTATTCTCCTTTGCTCGTTAGAATTTTTTAAATAACATACGATTTATGTAAATGTAAATAACTTTCATGTAATATATAACATTTTTATTGCTCACATTTATATATTTATATACTTTCCTCTTCCTATTTGAATTTCTTAGTGCTGCTTATTTAATATGAAATTAATTCATATTGGAAAAAAAGAAACAAAATATATACACTTTCATTAATTTACTTTTACACGTTATAAAAAGCTATTTGCATTTATAATGAAGAATGAATTTTGTTCTTCAACATCCATATTAGAATATTAAACTGAATCTGTAAAAATTTGGAATCATAAAATTACAACAGTTATAAATGATAATATGTGTGTTCCATTTGTAAAATTTTAGTACATATTTGTTCTAGTACAATAAAGCATATAAAACAGTTCATTTTAGTACATAATTTTTAATTATTTTATTCCTTAATCTTCCATATCTTTAGACTTTATTTCACTTATAATTCCTTCTTTCAAAAATCTAGTATACAAAGGATCTCCTTCAGTCACAACATATGAAAGTACAGTTTTTGTATAATAATCAGACATTAACTCAATATTTTTTATAACTGTAGATAGAAGATGTGCTTTTTCCACATATATACCTATAGAAGAAAAACATTTGAAAATAATTGCTTTTAAGATACAATTTAAGTGTATAAAATTATCATATAAGTTTGAAAGGACTATTATGCTATTATAAAATAAATCTTTTATAAAAAGAAGTCATTAAATGTATTTTACACATACCTGAGGTTTCAAACATGAGATACGCAAAATGAACATGGAGGTAATAATAAGATGGTTGATAATGTAAATATATTCTTAACTGAGAAGCAGGTATGTTAAACTTTTTAGTAATTGCAGCAATGCCAGCACTTCTTATATTTCTTAAGAGAGGCAGGTGAGATGCATTTAACTCTCTTATCGATCGAATTTTTTGAAATGGAAGTGCTATTAATTTTAATGTATTTATTTGGCCATCCCATTTCAGATCGTTCACTATCATAAATCCAGTTTTTTCATTTGAATCCTCATATATAATTTTGTCTTGTTCCGCCTTATGTTCCAAAATATTAAATATCCACTAGAAAAAGGTAAAACTCAAATTTTTAATTTCTAACACTAACAATAACAATAATAATATATCAAACATTATATTAAATTGAAAATTTTGTATTAGATATGATAATAATTTTAATATTTTCTCATTATGTTATAAATTTTATTTTTTACTTTTTATAAACATACCTCTATAGAAAAGCTGCTTGATTCTATGCATGGAAGAGTAATTTTTTGATAAAGTTCATAAGTTTCATCTATAATATGAAGTTCTTTCCTTCGAAACTTTTCGATATGTTTTGCAGTTGCAGGATGTATTATCATTGCATTTATACCTTAAATAATATACAAATTTTTAGCAATCAGATAAAAAGAAAATATTTAGTTATAAATTTATTACGATTTACCATTATGTTTCTTAAGTGGAAAACATTCATAGTTTCCATAAACATCATTGCTAAAAAGTTTATGTACCACTGTATCTTTATTAAATAGTTCTTTTAAAGATTGATCATCATCCGAAAAATTCTGTTTCTCCAATACGACAACGGCCGAACTTTCATATCCTTTAAAGGTACCCTCTATACATATCTGTTTTCTCATGCAATTATTTTGCAATACTCTTTTTGTATTAAATATAGATGGGCAGAATTCTCCTTCATGTATACTGTTAGTGTTTTTAGATATATTTTCTGTTTGTATTTTAGCTTTTTTAGCTGGAGAACATTCATCCGCACTGTTATTTGAAGAAACCTCCGCCATTGTTGATGACATTCGTTCCAAACAATTTACAATATTGATTAAAAAATAATATAAATTTTAATAAAAAGTATTATAAACGAAATATTTTTAATTATATTTCTTTTTATTGAGTTACATAATTTTGTGTGCAATTTATCTGTAATACTATTTAATACTTGTTAATTAAGCAAAGTTTTTAGGTTAAGCAAATGAAAAAATAAAAATTATCTAGTTTCTGTTAGCACAATGATTGCGATGTTTAATACGTTTATCTATGTTTATATATAATTATAAAAACAATTACTTATTGTAGTTATGTGTAATTCGTACATAAAATTAATTCGTCAATAACATGTATATATAGATTGTCTGGGAATCTATAGGATCCACAGTTTGAGTACAACTGCTACATATAGATATACACGAAATCCAAACACGGTGGCTAACGTCCAAAGCAAAGACTTTATCTTTTGGTAACCTGTGCAAGATTACTAAAGACGAACGTGAAAAATCAACTACTGCGTGCACTCAGAGGTTAATAACAATGCTACAAGTAGATGACAGAAAGGTAAAGTATCTATTCGTTTCCTTCCCCCTCCATTTTATCCTTAAATATTAATTTGCGATAAATAATCATAATTTCTTTATTACAAAGCTTTTGTTATAATTTAATTGTAGTCTATAACATTTCTATACTTGGCTTTACTTGCTACATTCTTTTAAATTGTACATAACAAGTACTGTTTTTTTTATAACACTTTATTCTTTCATATATATAAGTTTATGTTTGGTGTATGTTAAGGTTATGTGTTTTTTCATGAGCATCATGAGCTATTATTATTTATTTGATATGATTATTTACATGCAATTTTTTATTATTTCATTTTCAAATTTTAAGACTATTATCATTTATTAATATTTTGTCATTTTATCATAGGTAGCAAAATAGAAATTGTTACATAAATATTTGTTTCACCGGAATCGCAAATATAAATGCAAATTATAGATGTTATATACAATATATAGCTATATTATCCTTAGAATAGAAGGTTATCTATAACTGTCACGACTGTACCGTAATAGAGTCAAAAATTGAAGCTAAATAGATTTCAACTCGAAGTGGTTCATAAATTAATCAATTAAGCTAATATAATTAATAAATTTTAATGTTTTGTATAATATTGTATATTATCGGTAATTGATAAATTTGAATATTAAACTTACATAATCTTAATAAAAAAATATATCAAAATTGTATTTTATCAATTTGTTAGTTTTTACAATATTTTTTCAAATATTTACATCGGTTTTACTTCACGTGACCAATTTGCAGTAATATTAAACAAATTTAATGAAAATTATTGTCATATTTAAATAAAACCTGTCATATATAGTTCATCTACAAAACAAAAAATTCATTTACATGTTATAATGTATTATTAGAACTTAAATATTTTTTTCATTATTATAAAAATAAATAATACGGTAATAAATTCATAATTTCTTATTACATGTATCAACAATGTGATAATTTAATTGTTTAATGTATATCAATATTGATTCTGATATTAATAACGAATCGTATGAAGTTTCGTCCTTGTTCAATATCATTCACATACGTGATATCTATATATAGTTTCATATTATATATTATATATTATTAAACTATCAATAAATAATTCAAAATTTTTAAATTAAAAAAAAAACGAAAATAAATAAAATTTTAAAAATAAAATTCTAATATATATCACGATAAAACAAGAAATACAAAATAATTTGATTTTTGTTTCTACGTATTATTAAACAGAAAATATTTCAATTTCATGTAACATACAAAATGTTTTGTTAGTCATTTTTTAATTAGTTTATGTACGTAGTAGTAAGATAAATATACAATGTGCGAAGGAAAATAAAAGGTTACCATTAAAATTAGATTCAATTAGAAAATTCATATCTTCAATATAATTTTTAATTATCCAAATAATGAAATTATTTTTATAGTTTTACTCTATATAAAATATCTCATCTCGACTACCAAGTGATAGAACAGTATTTCTCCTTGTAAGACGTTATATTATGTGGGATACGCAAGATTATGTGGGATAGTCTGTGGTTACACTTCATTAGACTGCAAAAGATGCGCGAGTTACTTTTGTAAACATAACCATAACGTATGTATTTATTTCAGCTGCTACTTTATACGCATAAATTAGAATAGCGTTTAATTTATAAACGTAAATCGTCAAATAATTAACATTGGTTTAAAATCGTCATTGAATATTTTCTACTGCTGTATATAGAGGGCGTTGCACTTAATTTCATTACTTTGAATGTTATTCGTTGTGTTGATGAAATATAAATGGAAAAGTTGATGAGATCAAAGTTTATTGAAAATAGCACTTTAAGAATAACCGATATAAATATCGCTAGCTAATTATTATCAATTATGAACTTATTATAATTTTTATTATCGATTATTATCGATTATTACCATTATTATGTATAAGTAATTAAATAATTAATATTATTTACTTTTAAAGTGATTATTTACAACAGACTTAGGTAATATAAAATCAAATATCTATTAATTTGGAAAAATCAATTTAGAAAATAGTAATTATTTGATAAACTTCAGTAAATGTACCATAAATATTAGTATTTGAAATGAGTTGCAATCAAATGTTTAAATAATATCTGTATAAATAGTATACATTATATTTGTGTGACATATTATAAATGTGTATATTATATTTATAGTCATATTTATTTGGATACATATTATTTTAATATTAAACAAAATAATAAATAATGTTTCAAAGAGAAAGAAATGTTCATCATAGAATAATAAATATATAAGTAGATTTAGTACTAAAATATTGATGAAATATTATTTTTCAGATGATATCATAAAAAAAATATTTAAAAACAGTTTCATTTATTTGATAGAATAACGTATATTTTACAAAAGGAAAAGAAGGGATACAGAGGGAAAAGAATAAGATGTATTTTAAAATTATAATTCCAAGATTTCACATGTCACACTTTATTTGTGTATATATTATACACAATATTATACATACTTGTAAATTATATAAATTTTTTAAATTGAAAGTACATGTTAGAGGATAAAGAATCTGAGTTAACGATTTCTAAAGTACAATCTGTAGGTAATTATATTTGAAAAGAATTAAATTAATTTGAAGTATTCTTTCGGAAAAAATAAATAAACTTGTGTATTTTCAAGCAGACATCTGCGACATTTTTTAATTTTAAAAACTGATAACCTTTGATTCACTTGTCATGGTTAATTTTTTTTTATAAAGCTAGAGCATTTCAAACTATTGACGTCAGAAGACGTCGAGTCAAGATTTATCTTATTGAACGATAACCTTAAATATTTCTCTTTTAACCCTTCTATTAATCGTTTTATCGAAAATGCAGATTGCATCAATCTATTTGTATGTGAATACGAAATTAAATTTTTCATGAGATAAAAATATGAGAAAATAATATAAATATAAATTTTTGAATTAAATATTCTTTATGTATAAAGAGGGATCTAAAAATGCAAAGCTGATACGCTGATTAATTACTTTTAATATTTCAAACGACGAGATATTGTATAAGTAAAAGCATGCAAACAGTAGCTCATCGATGAAGAAATATCTATCTGTTTCTTTTTCAAAGAATTTATCTTATACTATTGATATTGTCAGTTGTTTGGAATGATCATATTAAATGGAAAATTATAGAGACATTATTCAATATTTTGTAACAGAGATTATTTGTTTTATTTTGAAATATGTTTATTATTATTTCTTTTAGAAATATAATTATTTTATTATATTTTTAAAAAATATTAGAAAAGAAAAGTTTTTCTTAATAGTAGATTATTTACGCTTCCAAAAAATTTTATATATCAAAAATTTATTTATTTTCTTCATTCGCAATTCGCGATTATAATGTCATAGTAAAAGTTAAAATAAGTGTGAATATTATCACGTATCATCAATTATTTCATTATTTGTAAAATATGTGACAATAAAAAGTCTGTAGAAGTTGTAATTATCATTGAAATATAAAAATATATAATTAGAGTGTCGTTAAAATTCACAAAAATCGAATTATTCGATAATGTGTTAGAAATATAGTTTCAACAAAAGTAACACTTAGGAATTTATTAATTCTATAACCGTATATTGTATAATATATAGTTTTAAATTAATAGAACAAAAAATTCAAATTGCTACATTACTTGACAAGTTATATGTTCATATATACTTATGTAATTGGTTACGTGTTTATCATGTCGATTATCACCAACATTTCCATAAGTAAGTTTAGAGAATGCTTAATATTGGAATTTGACGATATTTTACATAATAGGTTTTTCTAAAATTAGTACCAACATAATATTATGGTTTAAATTATTCTTGTTATTACCATTGGAGTACACATTTTCATGAAACTGCGAACCTTCAACAATTTATTAATCTTAAATAATATAATTTAAATTGATAAGTGTATGTCATAATATGCATGAGAAATAAAATAAGGCAGAAAAAGGTAAAACACTTTAAAGCTCGACAGACCGTCGTTAACATAGAATTGAATCGAACTGTTCCATCGCTTGATTATTGTCGCGCTTATATCGCGTAACCAATTCTATCTATCTTCAGCATTTTGCTATCTATTGCACTTTCAAAAAACGCAATGATAGGTTAGTCGGATGAGAAGCATAGACACGATTTGATAAGTTCTAACACACTGATGCTGTTGCGTGACCTTACAAGATGTAACCGATCATGAATCGGCCGATAACAAGCCGATCATAGCGCCAGAGTTGGAAAGTCGCGTCGGTTGGCCGCATTACGATAAAAATTGTGGCCGAAGGCCAGCTTGATAATACGAAAATACATTTTATCTCTTTCTTTTTCCGTTTTTCATTCTGTCATTATACATATGTACATAATATCTAAGACACTTCATTTCATTAGAAGTGAATTTCTATAGGCAGCGTGCTTCGGAAGCATGACGCCAATTTACCAGGGTAACACATCCACAATCCACACTTGCTGAAGATACATTGACTCGCGCGCTCGTGTCGCGTTCAGTTGGTTTCGTTCTTTCGAGCATCGTAAGTTCGCCGTCGGTTAGACAGGAATTTAAACAATTGCTCGCCTGTCTGTTGAGTGACACTAGTGAGAAGTTAACGCGCGCGCTCTCGCTCGTCATACAGAGCTTTGAGAGAGGATATGAGAATTAAATACTTTAGTTGAACGTAAGTGATCGTGTACGTGGAGAAAAAAGATAGAGGTTGTCGTTTTTGCCAGAATCAAAATTCATCGGAATGTACTGGTTAGTTCATCGTTAATCCCAAACGTGACAATAAATGATATAACTTATTTCGCTTGTATTCAATGTTTCATCGAAAAGAAAAAAAGAAACAAAAAATGAATTATGACCGTGTTTGCATCCAATGAATGAAATTTGCATTACGCTTTCGTGAATCGTCTGATGAATATAATTCGTGCTTAAATATTTAAATCTTCCATTCTTTCTTATATAAACATTGAAATTTTCTACGTTCAAAAGGGTATGTATAATTATCTTCCTCGTGCTCCAATCGTATAATACGAGGTTGAAGGAAAACATTTTCAACTATTTTCGAATAATGATCGAATCATTTAAAGTTAGAATTTATTTCCCGATAAAAACAGTGAATTGCGATTCGGTTAAATGAAATTGATGTTTGTAAATGCTTTGTCATGCATACAAACTGTTATTTAATTGTAAGATGTAACAAATGCACGTCAACACAATACAATTAAGTATGGTTGGTGTTACATCACGATAGATGATATCATGAGTTTGCCATAGTGATATTATTGAAGGAGATTGGTAGAAACACACTTGTCACAAACATCTCCAACGATGATTTACTTTTTGTATTTCACAATACTTACATAAATTGCACGGTATCGTACGAAGTATAATTTTGAATTTATTATTTTATATAGGCAAAAGTTCACTTGTTATGGAACAAACTTTTTCTTATAATAACTTAATTTTGGAACTTTTAAAATTTACAAACTTCATTTTTAATATTGCAAATTTTAATATCTGTTTATTAATTCTTTGGCATACTCGCATAAGTTTAATATTACTATTATTATTTTTGTAACGTTTAGTTATTTATTATAATTGCATTTATTTATTAATATTATATAAATATTTTCCAAGTTGTTTGTATCATGAAAAATAACTCTCATTGTTCACATTTTTTTTATTAACATTCTATTTTTACATAATATGAAATAATGTTTCGAAATTAATATTTTGTGTTATTTATTTTATATTTCATTTTTTCCTACGTTTAAATATTTTTATGATTTACTTTTCAATAAGTTTTTATTTGTTCACGTGTTTTATTTGTTAAATCTATTTTTTGCGATATTATTCATTTTTTTTTTATTTCCGTAATTTTTATGAATAATAAATATTAATATTAATATTAATATCAGTAATAGTAAATATTAATTGTAAATATTACTTTAAAAATTTTGACTAATTATACACATTCGTCTAATTCGAGTTAGAATTATTTTCCTTCATTTTTAAAATCTGCAAATTTCTGTCTATAACGATATATGTGTATTTTAAATTTCTGAGAACTGATCTCACACAAGATCTTAAAACTTTTTAAATATTCAAGAATTTTCTTTTTCTTCTTTTTTAATAAAAGTAAATCTGGGTTAAAATTTAGCAATTAAAATTATTTTAAATTAGTTTATGATATAAATAATAAGCATATCACATTTACTGAAATGTGAATACTGAAACAACATTAAAATTGCTTTTCGTTTCATTGTATAAAATATATGTAATATATGGATTTTCTCGAATAATCAATTCGACATACACATACACACACGCGTATGTATATCATTCACTTCGCATGCTCATAAATTTTTCATGTAATTTCGAATTTCTGCGATTTCGTTCTTATTTAATTTTGAAATATTTTAAAATATTTTATCCAGAATAATCATATTTATTTAGTTTAATTATTTTCTTTCACGTTTGTCTTTCTATTTCTGAAAGTGAATTAAGAAAAGACGTCAGAAAAAAGCTGTCACGTATCTGCAATTTAAATTACGTGCACCAGTGACTCAAAATTTTCAGCAGGGATAAAATTCAATTAATATAAAGACCTACTATTTTTATTTTAAATTACTTACTATATCAGTATATTTAATATTTAGTTTTTGAATATATTAGGATAAAAATATATTTAATATCTTTTTTTAATATATTGGTATATAGATATAATTAACATTTAAATTAATATATCAAACCCATAAAAAGTAACTTTACTGCAGATTAAGGTCAAAAAAGTCACTTCTATTTCTAATCATTTTTTTTTTATTTATAAGATAACAAATAATTTAGAATGCTAAAGAATACACTGTGCATATATTTAAGATAGGAATAATTTAAGTTGGATATTATTTTAGAACGCAGAAGCATTTGCCCTCAGAATTGTTCTCATTTCAATTATCCTTGAATAATAATTGTTTGAGGCACTGCGCGATGCACTGCGAAGGAATCTGTATTTCTGACACAGTTGACATAACAAAATAAAAAGTTCTTTGAGAAAAATAATGAATTTTCGAAACATTTATTTAAACGAAAAATAAATAATTCTTGTTTGAATAAAAAACTGCCGTGCAATTCTATTAAGATAATTACAAACCAAAGGTGATTTGTTATTTATACGAACACTGTTTTAATTTTTTATTTGTATCAAACTCATCTCTTATAACTGATCAAAGTTTGTCAATTTGGTAAGATAGATATAGTTAACGTTAAAAAAATTGCTTTCATTTTAATTAACTTGTTTCTTTTTCTTAATTAACTTTGCTTTTATCAAATAATTAATCCTTTGTAAAATGCTTATGTAATCGCTAATATTTGTCGATATTTGCAAATATTGCAAGGACGACAAGGACTACAATTAGTATTTATCATTACCGTTATCATGTATGATTTGTCATTATTACGATAAACAAAATAGCAGTATCATTACTTTAATTATCAATATCTTTTTTGTTTTACCGTGGAAAATAAAATTTGTCGATGACTTGCTTTATCTTTTTTAAATGTTAGATTAAACGATATATCTTATCATTAAGATACATTTCATTACAATTATTTAAAAAATATTGATTTATTTTTGTTCTACCTGTAATTAAAATAGTTTCAAAAAATAAAAGTCTTATAAAATTAGTTATTTTTTATAAAAATTGAGGCGATTTTAAACGGTCAATGTTTTTTTTTTTTTTAATTTCGTTGTTCCCTATAGGTCATGAAATATACAAGGTGATTCGCTCGTTATTAGACTTAAAGACAGCAAGCGTCATTAAATGTTGCATTAGTTGGTCATGTGACTGTACTGTATAATCTGACAAAATTCGTGGCAAAAATTCAATGTATTGCTGACATTTTTTGTTTTTTCTCGGACAATACGGCTGATAGCCAATTTTTTCAAATGAAACAAGATTTTTTTAAAGGAGAAGGTTGTTCACAATTAATAATAATAAATAAATAATAATAAATATGTTTTCGCAACATATTTCAAGACCATCAAAATTGCTGAGGTTATATTTCATTTGATATCATGTTCCTTATTTGATGCACTAAAGTAAATTGAAGAGTTGATTATTCGAGAAAATATGATTTATTTTGTAATTAAATATTTTTAAAATAACATTCAAAACATTTGTATTAAACAATTCGTGTAATAATAATAATGATAATAATAATAATACTAGTAGAAAGTAATAATGACATAAATGTTTGATGCTGAAAATACTGGAAAAAAGACAAGTTACTTTGAACAAAATTCAAGTAAATAACTTCAAAAAATAATTTTAAAGTGATACAATTTGAGGAAGTTACCCTAATAGTAGGGTAAATTTGAAGAAAATTTAACGGCGCGAAAAAGACACATTGAAAATAATTATTTTAGAATGTCAATTTCATATTTAACTATCTTTTCTAATACATATATTTGATATGCTCGAAAACATTTAATATATTGAATTATTTTATTTACTGCGGTGACTGTGCCTGCATCTTGATGACTACCTTCGAAATTCGTCGTTGGGTATTTGTTAATACTAGGACTATCGAACGAGTCAAAATTACTGGCCCCAGATATTTTATTTCTGTAGTTATTGAAAACGTGTAATTACTTTTGACAAAATAAATATTTACTTTTATTCAGATAGAAATATAATTATATATACCTATTTATCTTCGTTGTATCAATTTAATTATTATTATTCGTGTATATATTTAAACATTATTGTTATTTGCATGTAGTATATACCGTAATTATTATTATTAGTATATAGTATGTATAAATATTACAAGTCGGTAGTCCTAGTGTTAAAGTCAACCTTATGTTATCCTTAACATTTAACCTATTTCTTACTTTTGTTTCGATATGAAGGAGCATTGAAAATATACTCAAACATAACGGCCACGACCCCCAGAAAGCACTTTGCGAGTCCCTTGGGGGTCGTAATCCACCTATTGGAAAACAATGGGGCAGATTCTACGTGAAAAGATAAGTCAAAATTGTATAGCAGTATTTTTTCGTATCAGACCTCATTTTCGAGAAAATTTTCTTTGAAAGTATCCTTGTTACTTAACGAATTAAAATTATATTTATACCATATAAAATATATTTATATTTTATTTATCTTCATAGTTATACAAATATATTTTTTATTATATGTACATATAAATGTGACGGTAATTATGAAAATGATTTAAATAAAAAATCTGAAAGCAATGATTTCATTACTTATTTTGTCTTGCACTCATTTATATTATAATACAGTAAAAGTATTTTCCCGAAAATTATTGAGAATTTGTAAAAATTCAATCGTTACATTGTAACTTGGTTTAATTAATTTTTTTAATTTATGATATATTTGAAGTGCGAAACTTATGGTATTTCGAAATGAAGCATATATGGCTTATTGTTAGTCCACTTTTATAATCATCTGTTATAATACATGTGTACGTTATATACTGTACATATTATGCAGTGATTCACGAAACTATTCGAACATCTAACAAATAAAATACACACGTTGAACTTAAAAAAATAATACATACTATACGTGAAGTGATATTTAAGTGTTGGGGGCGTCTGAATGAAATTATAAAAACAAAGAAAAATTATAAAAACAACGAATATGAAATTCC